ACTTTTCGGGGACACGTTTATTTAGGGGTTTTTGTTTACAAACAGTGTATACAAGGGTTGCCCGGGGGGCAGCCAGGGCCCCCAGCCTGCGGGGGAGAGGAGGGAGTTGTAGCTCGTAGGATGTCTGCCGCGTTAATGAGAAAAATGTCGAGTCATTATGTGAAAAGGAACAGTTACAGTGAACAGTGAGTTTGAAACGAAGTAGATGGAAACAAGAGAAGGAACAGTTTACACTGACTGCGTTTAGAGTATATAAAGATGGAAAATAACATCACAGATTTTTGAGTGTCATGGCCACTCTCGGGACGTTGGTAAGTACTTGACCAAGCCCAGCCACACGGTCTATTTACTCAGTGGTCCTTTTGGTAAAATACACTCAGATGAAGATAAAAGTTTTTTTATTTTACCTTTAATAAAGATAAAGTAAATTTATTAAGACTTTCTCTCTGCCATTGTTTCTTCTGCTCGCGCTTGACTGGAATGTCAGAATCTTTACTCTGTACTTTTATTACTTCTATCACTGATAATGGCTAATATGACTAAATAAAGAACATGGCAATATATTTTAATAACTTGGGTAAAAGGAAGTTAGGAAACAGCTGTCTGCAAGGCACCACTGTCTGCAAGGCACCAGCTGTCTGCAAGGCCCCAGCTGTCTGCAAGGCACCAGTGTCTGCAAGGCACCAGCTGTCTGCAAGGCACCAGCTGTCTGCAAGGCACCAGCTGTCTGCAAGGCACCAACTGTCTGCAAGGCACCAACTGTCTACAAGGCACCAACTGTCTGCAAGGCACCAGCTGTCTGCAAGGCACCAGCTGTCTGCAAGGCACCCAGCTGCTGCAAGGTACCAGCTGTCTGCAAGGAATAAGCTGCTAAATTAATAATAAAAATATATCTTTATTTACTACCAGTACATGTACAAGGTATACAGACCATAGCTGACATCAATGACATACTACTATACAGAAAGCCCCTTTTATACCCGGAGCATACCTGGAGAGGGTTTCGGGGTCAAAAGCCCCTGTGCTCGGTCCCGAGACCAGGGCCCCATGGTGGATCAGGGTCTGATTAACCAGGGTGTTACTGCTGGGCCCCACGCCCAAACTTTACATAAAGAACCACAACCCGGTTGGTCAGGGACTAACTTTAGGTACCTGTCCATGCCTTCTTAAAGACAGCCAGGGGTCTATTGGTAATCACCCTTATGTATGCGGAGGCAATTTTTAACAGTCTTGGGCCCCAGACACTTATTGTGTTGTCTCTCAATGTACTTGTGGCGCCTCTGCTTTTTCATCGGGGGGAAGTTGCATCACCTGCCGAGTCTTTTGCTCTCATAGGGAGTGATTTTCGTGTTTTAGGTTTGGTACCAATCCCTCCCGGACCTTCCAAGTGTTATTATCAATTATCTCTCTCGCCTGGGGTTCCAGGAAATACAGATCAAGGACCTCCAACCTTTCCCAGTAGTTTAGGTGCCTTATCATACTTATGTGTGCCGTGAAAGTTCATTGTATACTCTCCAGGTCTGCAATGTCGCCAGCCTTGAAGGGGGCAGTTAGTGTACAGCAGTATTCCAGCCTAGAGAGCACAAGCGATTTGAAGAGAATCATCATGGGCTTGGCATCCTTAGTTTTGAAGGTTCTCATTATTCATCTTATTATTTTCCTTACAGGTGAGGTAGATACATTGTTGTGGTCTTTAAAGGCGAGATCCTCTGACATTATCACTTCCAGGTCCTTCACATTGCTTTTCACTCTATTGTATGGTTAGAATTTGTCGTATACCCTTATATATTTTGAATATCCTCAAGTTTCTCAACTCTGAGTAGTTGACATTCCTCCTCGATGAGCTTCATATTGTTTTGAGTAGCCTATTCAAAGATTTGGTTGATGTCCGCTTGGAGTCTCGCGGTGTCATCGACGGAGGTTGTGAAAATTTGTCTGGACTTCCTCCATGTGAGTTGTCTACCTTGGCAAGCTCTGTTGACACCGAGCTCTAAGTCGGTACCCTCAGCCTCACAAGTGGCTTATAGGAAGATTTTCATAAATAACCGATGTTACAAGAAATCTCGCCTGCATGCACGTATAAAGGACTAACTTACTTGGTGTTGGAGAATATGTCCCGGTCCTCAACTTTCCTTAGCTTTAGCCCCTCTGGACTTCCCCTCAGAACCATGTGCAACCTGGAGCCTTAATTCCTGCAATATTCAGTTGACATTAGTGACCTGCCTGCACCTCAGAAATTCCTATTTCCAATGGGGTGGGCATCCCCTAGCATAACTATGCAGAAGTGGACACTAGCTTCTAAGCCTGAAGGAGTGACACCGGTACGTACTGGTCATGAACTGCCGCCTGCACAAGGCCCACAGCTCAACTCACTCGCAATTTACCCCAGACACTGGCCAGACTCTTACAGAAAAAAAGGGAGGTCTCATCTTACTGTATAGGCCTGACGGAGGAGGTCATCTATGGTACATCGAGGTGCCTCCACCAGATTTCCCTAGGTCTAGTATGTGAAGACATGTGGGGGCGCTGCCTGCTGATCACGGCACGTGTTGCTCAGATGGTTTTGGCCCTTAGAAGAAGGGCACTGCGGTCTCAAACCCGTGCCCCAGTATTCAAACTTTGGCTGCATTTTCCCCCTGGCTAACATAACCTAGTTTTTGCCTACATTAATCGCCTATTACTACCTACGTTAAGGTTTTTGGGTCTACATTATTATTACCTTCAGTTGCTCAAAGTTCTAATATTAGTGAAACTAACAGTATAAACTACCTACTTTTTCCCTGAAGGTTAAATCTATCAATTAAGAAGTACCTTCCAAACCCACCTTTGCCAACCCGGGTGTGTGTGTGTGTTGGGTGGGTGTAAGGGCCACCCTATCCAGCTGTTTATCCGTGACATGTTGGGATCTTTGTACGCCGTATCTGTCCTGTGGAACTTTTAGGACCGAATAAATTTCCACAGAGGTCACTGTCATGGTGATTTGGGTGTCATCCGAAAAGGGAAGACACGGAGCAAAGGCTTACGCCTCTATTCTTGTCTGAAATGAGGATGAGGAATAGAATGGAGCAATTTACTGTGCCTTGTGGAACAGAGCTTTTTACCGTAGTTGGCCTGGGACTTTACTCTGTTTACTATTCTCTTTGTGTTTTATTTGTCAGGAAGTTGTACATTCATCTACCAACTTTTCCTGTTATTCCTTTAGCATGCATTTTGTGTGCTATTTATTACACCAGGGGTCACACTTGTCAAAGGCTTTTTGCAAAGTCTGTGTATAATACATCTGTATTTTGTTTATCCTCTACAGCATCCAGGACCTTGCAATAGTGGTCCAGTAGCTGGAACAGCAGCAGGACCTGCTGTAAACCCGTGTTGCCCTGGGTTGTGTAACTGATGGGTATCTAGGTGGTTGGTGATCTTGCTTCTTAGAACCCTCTTTAAAGATTTTTATGATATGTGATGTTGTGCTATCGGTCGGTATTCTTTTCAACTGCTTTACTGCCACCATTGTGGAGTGGGGCTATGAGTGGGGTTGTGGGGATAACCCCTGTGTCCATGCTCCTCTCCATAGAATGCTTTAAAACATGCGATAGGGGTTTCTTGCAGTTCTTGATGAACACGGAGTTCCATGAGTCTAGACCTGGGCAGAGTGGGTTGGGCATGTCAATTTTTTGCCTTTTCAAAATCTTGTGAGTTAGGATAATATCTGAGATTTTTGAGATGACCAATTTTGGGTTTCATTCACAAAGAATTTCATTTGGATTGTCGGGCCCCTTTGTCTGGGCAGTGAAATCGCTGAACACTGAGTCATATTGGGAAATTTAGTATCTCACTCATTTCTTGGCTATCATCTGTGTATGTCCCATCCTGCCTAAGCAGGGGCCCAAAACTGGATGTTGCTTTTTTCCCCTTTAAAATTTTGGGATAAGAGAAGAAGTAAATTTTTTTTTTTTAATTTCCTTTATGGATTTTAGTTCTTTTTGATTCTTGTCTCCTGTAAGATTCCCCCGGCTTAAGTTCGATATTTACATTTTCCCCTGACCAGTGCCTTTTCTTCGTATTTCAGATATACTGGCCCTTCTCAGTAGCTCTGTGACTCTTCGCTTCGTCTGTATAGGGAACGTCCTCTCTTTCTAGTTTTTCATCTTCTCTTTCTTTCTCGTAATGGAATGAGTATTGAGCAGATCTCAACAACCACAGACTTCATTTTTTCAAGGCAAATGTTCGGATCTGTGTTGTTTAGGATATCTTCCCAGCTTGTTTCATTTAGGACATGATTTACTTGATCCCGTTGTTTGATTTTGTTATTGAAATTGAATTTCGTGGAGAGACCTTCATGACTGCTCACATTTTGCCGGTCAGGAGCCCTGTGCATACATGTCTGTATCACTATTATGTTGTGATCTGAGTGTATTGCTGAGTATTTCGGACAAATTAGGTCTGTTTTGTCGCAGGATGCGTCCCACACAAGTCGAGTAAACACCCAGGTACCTATTTTACTGATAGTTGAACATAGACAGCAGGTGCCAGTAACTGAAAAGTCGATACTAGGAGGAGAATAACTTACTCCTGAGAAAAAACAAAAACAAAAATATCTATAAAAATAATCTGGGGACGTGAAACTCAGCATGACAAGGGTAACTGAGAGCCCGCCAGGGGCTGCCAAAATTTATTTCGTAATGGTACCAAAAGTTTTCACGAAAAGGTACCAAAAAAGCACAAAAAAGCACCAAGTTTTAAGCATTAATATATATCTCACGAAGTCGTAATGACACGATTGCAATCGTGTTATTACGATTTCGTGAGTCATGTTAACGGCTTTGAGGGGACTTGAGCTAGAGTTCGTCACGGCCACGCTAGCTGGAGATTCGTCTGTAAAAACTTGCATTTGTGGTCACAGAGGTGCCTGTGCTAACCTTCCTATGGTGTAGAAATATACCTAGTTGGACGAATCTTATTGTGGCTAGCTGGTCTAGTGGCTAACGCGACGGGCTGGAGTTTTGAGACTCTCTGACCGCGGGTTCTATCCCCGCCCGTGGTATGGTTTATCAATATAAACACTATAAAATATCTTCAACAGGAAAAATTCATTTAACTTATATTAAATCACACTAAAACATGGAAATAGAGGAAATACATTTAACTTACCTTGTGTTAAGAGAAGTTTTTTCTCAACTGTTGCATCACTATACCATCAGTTTTGTTGAATTCTAAGAGTTAGTTTAATATGTTAATTATGCAACCCATACCCATCCTGTGGGCGGTAGTCAAACCATACCCATCCTGTGGGTGGTAGTCACCCCATACCCATCCTGCGGGTGGTAGTCACCCCATACCCATCCTGTGGGTGGTAGTCACTATATACCCATCCTGTGGGTGGTAGTCACCCCATACCCATCCTGTGGGTGGTAGTCACTATATACCCATCCTGTGGGTGGTAGTCACCCATACCCATCCTTGTGGGTGCGTAGTCACCCCATACCCATTCTGTGGGTAGTAGTCCACCCCATACCCATCCGTGGGTGGTAGTCACCTCATTTACCCATCCTGTGGGTGTAATCACCCCATACCCATCCTGCTGGGTTGGTAGTCACCTCATACCCTCCTGTGGGTGGTTATATGTCACCCCCTACCCATCCTGTGGGTTGGTTAGTAAGCCCATTACCCATTCTCCTGTGGGGTGGTAGTCACCCCATTACCCATCTGGGGTGGTTAGTCACCCCATACCCATCCTATGGGGTGGTAGTCACACCATACCCATCCTGTGGGTGGTAAGTCACCCCATCACCCATCCTGTTGGGTGGTAGTCACCCCATACCCATCCTGTGGGTGGTAGTCACTCCTACCATCCTGTGAGTGGTAAGTCACCCCATACCATCCTTGTGGGTGGTAAGTCACCCCATACCCATCCTGTGGGTGGTAGGTCACACCCATACCCATCTGTGGGTGGTAATCTCCCCATAACCCATCATGTGGGTGTAGTCACCTCATACCCATCCTGTGGGTGGTAGGTCACCCATACCCATCTGTGGGTGGTAGTCAGCCCATACCCATCCTGTGCGGTGGTAGTCACCCCATACCCATCCTGTGGGTGGTAGTCACCCCATACCCATCCTTGTGGGATGTTGGTCACACCATACCCATCCTGTGGGTGGTAGTACCCCATACCCATCTGTGGGTGGTAGTCACACCATACATCCTGTGGGGTGGTTAGTCACCCCTACCCATCTGTGGGTTGGTGTCACCCAAATACCTTTCCTGTGGGCGGAAGTCACCCCAGACCCATCCTGTGGGTGGTAGTCACCCCTTACCCATCCTGTGGGTGGTAGTCACCCCATACCCATCCTGTGGGTGGTAGTCACCCCTTATCCATCCTGTGGGTGGTAGTCACCCCATACCCATCCTGTGGGTGGTAGTCACCCCATACCCGTCTGTGGGGTGGTAGTCCCCCATACCATCCTGTGGGTGGTATCACCCCATACCATCCTGTGGGTGTGTATTCACCCCATGTCCACCATGTGGGTGGTAGTCCACCCCATACCCATCCTGTGGGTGGTAGTCACCCCATACCCATCCTGTGGGTGGTAGTCACCCCATACCCATCCTGTGGGTGGTAGTCACCCCATACCCATCCTGTGGGCGGTAGTCACCCCATACCCATCCTTGTGGGTGGTAGTCACATAATACCCATCCTGTGGGATGGTATAGTCACTATATACCCATCCTCGTGAGGTTTGGTAGTCACCCCAAAATACACATCCTGTGTGAGTGGGGGGGTAGTCACTCATACCCATCCTGTGGGTGGTAGTCACCCCATACCCATCCCTGTGAGTGAGTACGTCACCTCATACCCATCCTGTGGATGTTAGTCACTCCATACCCATCCTGTGGGTGGTAGTCACCCCATACCCATCCTGCTGGGTGGTAGTCAACCCACACCACTGTGGGCGGTAGTCCACCCCATACCCATCCTGGTGGGTGGTAGTTCACCCCATACCCATCCTGTGGGCGGTAGTCACCCCATACCATCCTGTGGGTGGTAGTCACCCCATACCCATCCTGTGGGTGGTCGTCACCCATACCTCATCTGTGGGTGGTAATCACCCCATACCATCCTGTGGGTGGTTGTTCCCTCATACCCATCCTGTGGGTGGTAGTCACCCCATACACATCCTGTGGGGTGGTAGCTCTCGCCCATACCCTATCATTCCTGTGGGTGGATAGTCACCCCATACCCTCCTGTGGGTGGTAGTCACCCCATACCCATCCTGTGGGTGGTAGTCCAACCCATACCCATCCTGTGGGTGGTTTAGTCACCCATTACCCATCCTGTGGGTATGGTAGTCACCCCATACCCATTCCTGTGGGTGGTAGTCACACCATACCTTTCTTGTGGGCGGTAGTCACCCCATACCCATCCTGTGGGTGGTAGTCACCCCATACCCATTCCTGTGGGTGGTAGTCACCCCATAACCCATCCTGTGGCGGAGGTAGTCACCCGATATCCATCCAGTGGGTGTAGTCACCCCATACCCATTTTCCTGTGGGTGGTAGTCACCCATACCCATCCTGTGGGTGGTAGTCACCCCCATACCCATCCTGTGGGGGGGGATGGTGTCACCCCATACCCATCCTGTCGGTGGGTATTACACCTGGCCATCCTGTGGGTGCTATTCAACCCATACCCCTCCTGTGGTTGTAGTCACTCCATACCCATCCTGTGGGCGGTAGTCACCATACCCATCTTGAGTGGTGGTAGTCACCCATTCACATCCTGTGGGTG